GAACATTCCTTTCCATTAATCCCAGGTCTTCAGATAAACTCAACCAATCGTCAACCAGAAAATATTTAAATTTACCTATAGCCTAGAAGCCCCCGCTTTGAGGCTGCCCTGCCTTTCTGAATCAAACCAATGTATTTCTTAAACGTATTTGATTGATGTCTCATGCCTCCATAAAATATATAAAATCAAGCTGTGCCCCGACCACATTGGGTACATGTTCTCAGGACCTCCCGAGGGCTGTGTCATGGGCCATGGTCACTCAAATTTGGCTCAGAATAAATCTCTTCAAATATTTTACAGAGTTTGATTCCTTTTGTCGACAGGGAGGGTTCCTTTTTTTTTTTTTTTGAGACAGAATCTCACTGTATCGCCAGGCTGGAGTGCAGTGGTGTGATCTTGGCTCACTGCAACCTCTGCCTCCTGGGTTCAAGCGATTCTCCTGCCTCAGTCTCCCAAGTACCTGAGATTACAGGCATGTGCCACCATGCCTAGCTAATTTTTGTATTTTTAGTGGAGACAGGGTTTCATCATGTTGGCCAGGCTGGTCTCGATCTCTTGACCTCGTGATCTGCCCGCCTTGGCCTCCCAAAGTGCTGAGATTACAGGTGTGAGCCACTGCGCCTGGCCTCGGGAGGGTTCCTTGGAAGCATAGAAGGGGCATGTGGCCTGGCCCTCTCTACCCTACTTGTTCTGCAGGGCCCAGCTCAGACATTATGAGGTGAGATATTCTCCAACTCCTCAAGGCAAAATTCATGCTTCTCTCCTCTTTGACACTTTGTTCATATTTCTAGTACTTACCTCGTTGTAGTACAGCTCATTGGGCCACATGCTTTGCTGATTATAAATTCTTTGAAAGGACGGACTGTATTTTCTGCAGAATCATCCTGCCAGCTAGAATCACCCCCTTCCCCACAATCCTTTTGCCAAATCCTCTGCACAGCAGCACACAGTGACCCCAGGACATGCTAGTGCAGTAAATAAGCTCATGAACTACAGTCAGAGAGGGAATGGGCAGGAGGGACGCATGCAATGATGCTACAAAAAAGAATCGGGGCTGGACGCAGTGGCTCACGCCTGTCATCCCAGCACTTTGGGAAGCTGAGGCAAGAGGATCACTTGATCCCAGGAGTTCAAGACTAGCCTGAGTAACATAGCAGGACTCCGTCTCTACCAAAAAAAAGAAAAAAGAAAAAAAAATTAGCCAGGCATGGTGGTACACACCTATGGTCCCAGCTACTCAGGAGGCTGAGGTGGGAGGATTGCTTGAGCCTGGGAGGTGGAGGCTGCAGTGAGCTATAACTGCACCACTAAACTCTAGCCTGGGTGACAGAGTGAGACCCTGTCTCAAAAAAAAAAAAAAAAAAAAAAAAAAAAAAAAAAAAAGGTGGTGGGAGAATCCACACCACAAGAAGACCTCAAGAAGCAAGAAAAGAGTACAAAAGAGCCCATTCACAATCCAGGTCCCTGACCTCAGGTGTTGGCAGCCACAGTGGCTTGTCCTTGAGCTTTGCTTAAGTCAGATAAATGTGACTGAGCCAGCTGTATTTGCTACAGCAGAGCCCACAGCTGCACATCTCTGAGATGAGATGATTTTCCGAGCTAGAACACATCAGCTGACAGGTTTTAAGAACAAACAGATTTCAGGTAAGGTGTGGTGCCTTATGTCTATAATTCTTGCACTTTGGGAGGCCAAGGTGGGCGGATTGCCTGAGTTCAGGAGTTTGAGACCAGCCTGGACAACATGGTGAAACCCCGTCTCTACTAAAATCCAAAAAATTAGCCGGGCGTGGTGGCAGGCACCTGTAGTCCCACCTACTCGGGAGGCTGAGGCAGGAGAATTGCTTGAACCCGGGAGGCAGAGGTTGCAGTGAGCCAAGATCGTGCCATTGCACTCCAGCCTAGGTGACAGAGTGAGAGTCCATTTCCCAAAAAAAAAATAAATAAAAAGATTTCTGTAATTACAGTAGATCACAATTTATTTTTTTCCAAAAATGTTGGTCTTCCACTCTGTTAGCTGAGCCAGCCCAGCAGGAATTACCTGTGGTCCCCGACAGCCACCCTGAGATTTGATTTATCAAGATGAAGCCTATTCCCTCACCCATCTCCCAATCATCTTCTGTTAATTTTGCCCCAGGTTATACAACTTGCTTTAAACCTGGTTCTAAAGCTGAGAGGATTGAATCTGCAAAACTTTGTCTAAGAAAAGGAGCCTAGAGCCCCCACATCTGTTTAGCTTTGGAAAATCACAAACATCCCTGAATTCTAAACAGATGGAAGACTTAACCAGTGGGTGGGTTTGGGGACCAGGCACCAAGACAAGGCCACCTACTCTTGTGACTTCCGGACCTTCCCTTTAGGCTCCCGTGTATCTTTTGCCTATAAAGGAAACAAAACTCAGAAGACTAATTGGAACATTTCCAAGTTTCCTTTGCAAGATCTCCAAAACTTTCAGGCACTCCCCTCCTACATCCAAAACAGCTTGTCATCAGTGTTTCTGTTCAATCTTCCCAGATTGAACAATATCAAAACTCCATCCTCCCACGGCTCCATGTGCAGGGGAGCACAGCATGTGAGCTGAGTGTCCGGCTGGCCATGCCTACCTTCAGAGTCCTTCACTGGCTCCTCCAGATCACCTCGCCTGCATCACTTTGTTCTCAGGGAATTGCAGCACAATTTCCTGAAACAAAGGTTCAAATCAATTTGCAGAGCAGCAGTTTTAATGAGCTAAAAGTGGGATAATGCCATAGGTTTTGCAAGCTGCAGCTTCTATTCAACTTAATTACCTTCCTCTGTGGATTTCAAATCAACCAGAGCTTCAAAGGGGGAATTTCATCATATTCCCAGAGCACTGCATGGCAGGTATATGCCTACAGACCAGAATGTGCTAAAGTAGGCAGCATCCATCAACACTGACATAACCATGGTGAAGCTGTCAGGAAAAGGGTTCTAACAGTGATATCAGGCAAGACACAAAATACTCATGAATGCTAATACTTTGTCACTGCTCGGAGAACCATGTGGAATGGGCAGAGACGTCACTGGACAGGACAGCTTACTCCTCCTTCATTCCAAGCCATCACTCTCCTGCCAAGTGTTGTCATAAGGCCACACTGTGTGGGCAAAGAATGTCAGGCAAAGAATGTCAACGGGGAGGGGAGAGCATCTTTAAGCTCTTCTCTCGATCAAACCCCCAGATCCAGTTCAGCAAGCGTTCATCAAAAGCCTGCCATATAACAGGCACAGAGCTGGTGCTGGTGGTTTAGAGGTCTGAGGACATGATCTCTGCTTCCCAAAAGCTCATAGACTCCCAACTATAATACAAAAATGGTGATAAGGGAGGTATAAAGCTTAATTGCAAGCACAGAGACAAAAGGGGCTAATTCCAACTGGGTAGTGTGGGAGGTGAAATTGAGTCTCAATTAATCAGTATCTCTGGGGAGTGGGAGTCTGAGAGCTGATGGGCATGTTCCAAACAAAATCGAGAGGGCGGAAGATCAAGGGTTTATTCAGGAAGTGACGGTGACTGATCTGCTATAACCTGGTATGTGCAATGCACAGGAACATGCCTTGGGTGCCTCCAAGTCCAGCTAAGGGACGTAGGATGTGATGGAGAGCCACTGAAGGCTTTTCAGCCAAAGAGTGGTACAATCTGATCTATTTCAGAAAGGGAACTGGTTGCAGTTGGTAGCATGAACTGAGGGCTCTTCAAATCTTAAGAGGATTTCCACTCATTAGGGAATTGATTTGTTAGGACAATATTATGTAACTTGAGCAGCAGAGTCAATTTCAGACTAAGTGCTCTTTGGCTGTTCAGAGCTAACCACAGGAATATCTGGATGTTCCAGTTTAAAAACGGCTCTCCATCCCAGCACTGCTTCTGCTAATCAGCTTTCACTCTTCATGCTTGACCTGCACTCCACATCTTGCAGTTTTGATGAAAGGAAGTGATTGTTTTATCAATTTTCACACACACTAACTTTCATACTAATACCATTCTCAGAAAAATGCTTCAAAGGGCATCAATATGGCATAGGGCTAACACCTGAGGCAATCACATCTGCATTTTCCCACTCACAGTGGAGCCTGGGGTTATTTCATCTAGAGCAGGGAACAGCTCAAGGAGCCCCCCCCAAATCCATTTGATTTATATAGAAAGAAGTTTTTATTTCTAAAGTCCAGATTAGATTAATGTCATATCAAATCAACTCAAAGCGAGATACCTAGCTTAAAATGGATTCACCACAATGAGTACAAACGGTCCATTGTCCTTAGGAAAGGCTGACCGTCCCATCTACTTACATTTACAAACTTGAAGCACAGTATATTCCAGCTAGATTTATGGTGCCACATTAATAGGATGTTAAGAATAAAATAGCCAGGGCACACAAAGCCTTCTGTGACCTGCTAATGCTTCTCAAAATCACATCATGGCAGATGCAAAGAATTATTTCCCCAAGAAAAACAAGACGTTGACTTAGGACAATTTTCTGCACAACCAGCAATTTTTTTTGTTTGTTTTGGATTATTGAATTAATGCTTGTCACACATCACTGTGAAGTACGTGACTATACCTACATAATATATTGCTACAAACTAGGTTTATGAGTTCTCAAATAAATTCCGGGCTGCATTAACAACTAAGTGACGTGTTAAGAGTAATTCAGGATAATTTTCTTAAATTCGTAAGATGTATGTTGAATGACTCTTTGAAAAGGGCTTATTTTCTCACTGACCACTAGAGATCTTTAAACTTTCAGGTAACACTTTTAAGTCTTAAAAGCATTACTGCTGAAGTTTGGGGATTTAAGCCAAGTCACAAATTTCTGGAAAGTAGAATTACAACTTTACAAATTCACACTGAGTTCTCAGTTACATTCGTTTTACCATTTACTATCAGGAATAAAATCAAAGGGCTGTGCTTAACTTCAGTCAGACCTTTGACCTTAAGAGCAGAAGGAAGCAGAGAATTACAGTTCACACATAATAAACACATCTCCAAATTATTAAAAAGGCATTTTATTATAAATACATTTTAGTTGTAGCAGTAAAATACATTTTGTGTTACCATGAATCTTTGAAAACAAAAGAACTTCACTGAGACAATGAGCACACTGTAGGAACTGTAGACCCCAAGTTGAAAACTTGTTCTATGGAACCAAAGTAGCTAACGTAATTCCAAAACTAAGTTAGAAAAGATAAAGACAAAGAAAGAAGAAAATAAAAACCCTAGAGAGTGGCTTTGGGGTTATTTTATGGTACAAAGTCACTTTTCCTTTTAAGGATCAACTCTTTAGGTATTAGAGCCTCTCAGATGAGGTATCATTTACTGCAAAGAAAAAACATTGTTCTAATTTTGCCACAAATTATGCTTATTTAGATGGCTGTATAACTGGTACTTTGAGGAGATGCACCTGACCACCTCAATTCTGTACCGCTTCCCCCAGGAAGACTTCCCAAAATAAGACCCAGTATGAATTTGCTAAGTAACTCATCTATGAAGTTAGCTGAACAAGTTTAGATAAGAACTATATGTATGAAGCATTAAAAAAAAAATCCTGTGTCACTAATAACAGGACCCTTTAATAAAATGCAGAACTCATTATCTTTATAATTTAGAAGAGAAGTATTTTAATCACCATATTTACCTAGGATACAACTACTACATATAGCCAGTACCTTTATGGGGTTTAAAGGATCAGGTCAGATGACTGGCACAGGAATCAGATACAGTACAATGTCATATACATGGATTTATAGGAAGCAGGCATGGTCTGGATTTATGAAAATCCAGGACCCTTCCTCTGTAAAGGGGGAGGCTGAGAGACATTCTCAGCTGCACTGACACTTTGGGACTTCAACCAGGACAAAGAGCCCTCTGACCTACTGAAAGATATAAAGAGGTCTTCGCATACAAGGTATCGTGCAAAGCGAAGTGTAAATAAACCAAAGCTCCCCCTAAGTTGGGACTGCATAAAGGAACCTAGGCTGAAAATATAAACAATCCTCTCCGAAGGTTAGCGAGCCTTTTCAGCAGGAAGGACTGTGTCTTAAGAAAACTCCAAAGCTATATATTCTACGACGGTCTTCACGTGTACTTTTACACCTAAGTCATTCTGTATTCTATTACCTTAAAAATAGATTTTTTTTTTGTCTTTCTAGTATCTCAGTAAATTCAAAGCCAAACTAAAAACCAGAAGCAGAGCCCAATACCCCCCAAGATGCAGTCCAGATAAAACAGCAACACACAAATTAAAAACTACCCAAAGACCTGACAGGTTTATTATATTATAGGCAGTTTCTTTCTCAAAAATAACGTGCCCATCCATGTGCATCTATGACTTATGAATAATCCATGCTGTGCAGGTGGCAGATCCCCCTAGGCTGTTTTGCAAACACACATAGATTTTTTTTAAAGGTAGCAAAGTGATCAGAGACATTTATTTTCTGCCATATATAACACTTCAGGCTCTCTCTAACACCTGCTGGCATGCCAGAGAATCTAAAATAACTTTGTTAACCTGAGAAACACATAATTTGAAAAACAAATCCTTTGCCCTCACCACCCTCCCCCCGCCAAAAAAATAATAATAACCATAAAAACTAAACATTGGCCGGGCGCGGTGGCTCATGCCTGTAATCCCAGCACTTTGGGAAGCCAAGGCAGGCAAGATCATGAGGTCAAGAGATGGAGACCATCCTGGCCAACATGGTGAAACCCCGTCTCTACTAAAAAATACAAAAATTAGCTGGGTGTGGTGGCGCACACCTGTAGTCCCAACTACTCGGGAGGCTGAGGCAGGAGAATCACTTGAACTCAGGAGGCAGAGGTTGCAGTGAGCCTAGATCACGCCACTGCACTCCAGCCTGGGTGACAGAGCAAGACTCTGTCCCAAAAAACAAAACAAAACAAAACAAAACTATTATTTAAGGATTATCTGTTGTTTTCGATGCTCCAGGCCACTGCCATCGTAGGACAGGGACTGCTGCACTCAGTGCCTCGATACATGCTAGGTGCATTCTCATGGCATTCTGATGGCTTCTTTCCAGGATTCTCACTTCCATGCATGTGGATCAAGATTGACTCTAAGCACACCAAACAAATGCACAGCTTCTAGACCAATGCCCAGGCAGCAGTGTACACAAAAGCAAACTCACCCTAAAACCAAAGAGCTCCTTCACCCTACTGCGGAAGAGCAGTGCAGACCCCAGCAGGGGTGAGAGGGAGGAGGGATGGCGGTCAATCCAAGGGCCTGTCGCTCCATGGAGACCTTTCTCCACAAATGTTCCACTCATGGCACCAGATTTATAAAAATGTCTCCAGAGATCAGTTTTTTACACTGAGTAAATAAATGCATGGTTGAAAAGACATTCAGACTCTGAAGGTCTCTGAGACTTTCAAGCCGTGAGAATCAGACCAGTGATTTTCAAAGTGTGGTTCCTGGACTGGCAGCATCAGCATCGCCTGGAAACTTGTTGGAAATGCAAATTAACAGGCTCCAGACCAAAATCAGAAATGCTGGGGGTGGATCCAGCTATCTGAATTTTAACAAGACCACAAGGCAATTCTGATACTGGCTAAAGTTTAAGAACCATTGCTCCGTCCTGTTCACAATTCTAAAATCTTAAAACAGGACAGATTTGTAAATAGGACTATATGACTTCTACTCTGTGTTGCAACCTATGTAATTTGCCACCCTTTCCCCTTTACTTCTCAAACATTAAAAAAGTATTAATGAAAACACGTCATAAAATCAAACATTTCTTAAAAGGTAATATTGATTTCCCCTCCTCTACAGAGTTCTAAGGCAGGCAATCACATGCTAGTATGCAAAGCAAAATACAGAAGAGACCTCATATATGAGGTAGAAACAGTTAAAAAGACTCCCCACGAACATAATGAAAATTTCATAATATTGTTTAATGAACTCATAGAATTATATAAAACTTACTATGCTTTATGCTTAATATCTGTATCAAAATAAAATCTCTCTGTTGAACAAATTGCAAATAAAATCTGGTCTAATACTCTGATAACTGAAACTATATGAATGTCTCTGGGTTTTCTTAACACTCCAGTTTTAGACGCTTTAGACGACCACTGCAGAACTGGGTTTGGAATTTAAACACAGTTCACATTTCTAAGTCTAGATTCCTCTATTAGGTACCTCCCTCCCCAAAATTTTTAGAAACTCCGGTGACTGTTTACTTAAAGTTCACTCCAAAGTAGACATTTTCAATTGGTTCAAAAATTTTAAATGTTACAATTGTTTTAAAATCTCTTGAACCTCATATTCTAGTTTAAAGTAGTAACAATGTATTTAATAAGATTCACTCCTTGCAACAATGGTCTTGACATTACTAATTAAACAGGTATGAAAGTAGAAAGTGTGACTTTAGCAGTTTTAAAGTCTCAGCTAATAAATGTCCATCCTCAAGCAGATGGGAAATCTGAGGAGCGTATCATAACGAGCACTTTCAAGACTAACATGCCAGGTACTCTTTCAAGATGGAGATGGTGTCTTTGTAAGTGATTGGCAGGCACCACTACGGGATATTTTCAATCAGAAATCATAGTTAGAACATTAGCTATTCTTTCTAATTTCTAGACGGTTTGAATGTGGATCAGATGGCAAAGAGTGGAGACAAATCAGATCCATTAAGACATTTATACCTTGAGATTCAGGAAGACATATAGCGTGACAGTAGAAATTAAGGATTTTTCGATGGTAAGCAAGAAATAATGTCTGGTAAATCATAAAAGACAAATTACTACCATTGAGGAGCTGGAGGGAAAAAAACAAAAAACGATGGCTAGCCTACATAACATCTGAAAGCACCAATTTGTATCTTTCAATACATTTAAAGTTTTAACCTTGTATTTTTATAGATTCTTTCTGGGATTCCCTTTTTAACAACAACTCCACTATAAAACAATGCTATAGAAGGTGTCTGTTTTTAAATGAGTATTTCAGCAAGTCTAATTTTCTTAATAACGATAGTTGAAATACTAAAATTTATCTTGAAATTGTTCTTCACACCCTGAACTCTTAACAGAGGTGGCTCGCTGTAGCTAAGGGGGCTAGAGAAATACCTTTTACGTCTGCAGCTTTGCTCTTGACATGAAAAATATTAAACACATAAAATCAACTACACTAGAGCAACACAATACTATATATTAATTATCCCAAAGTTGGGAAATTCAGTTAGCTTTCTCAGCAGCTCCATTGCCTCCATAAAAGAGGAGAGTATTTTCATAAATAGGTCTTAGAAATTGCTATGTTTAATTAGGTAATGCTTATCCAGTGGGAATTCTGCTTATTGTACGTAGTCTGCAGTTCTCTGAACTGAAAAGACCAGTTGATGCTTACATCGAACCTAAACTTATTCTAAAATCTGATGATTAAAAAAAAAAAAACCTACACAAAGCAGTTTGTTATTTCACGTGTAAAAAATGACCTGGATAGAAAGCATATCTGTGTGAGGAAAGGAAAATTAAGGTCATGTTAGTTTAAATGGTCAATAATTAACTACTGATTAATCAAAAACAAAGTTCTGCTATAACATTTTGGCAAAGCATATGTCCAAATGACAACCAAAAGCCCCTTTAAAAACACACCAGAAAATATCCATGTTACACGGAATGAGATTCTTCCAATCGTAACAAAATACCATTTTTAGATCATGAAAAGAAATTTTTCAGCATGAAGGCTCTACTTTACAAACTCTATCATCTAAAATACGGTCTTTAAGATCTCAAGTAGCACTGAAATTAAAAAGTGAAACAAAATATCCTGGCAAGAAAAAGAAAACTTCAGAGTGACACAAAGGACAAAGACGTAAAAAGACATTATGTGAATAATTAACCTCACTTAGAAAAAAATGTGTTCTGAAGAAATGGAGGCTGGTAATACTTGGTATTATCTGAGCGCTATCATCAAGTTTTCTGGAAAAAAAAATTTATATACATATATACATATACTATACATATATATGCATATATAAGGGTTGAACCTAGTATATAAATTATGTTTCATAAATCTGATTTATGGGTACTTGCTACTACTACTCAAGTAATACCCAAAGAACATCAGCTGTACTCAGGAGACATGCCTCATTTTGATGGAAACTTGCAATGATTCTTACACAAGACTTGTTCAAAATGTTCTAAGATACTATGTATGCGTAATGAGCAGGTTCTTTAAAGCACGGTTACAAAGATGGCATTATGTAATGCTGAGGAAGAGTAAGCTTGTTATAAGTCAAAATAAGCATTTGATGCAGAATCTAAGAAGAGTATCAGATGGAAGCAACATGAGAATCCTTGACTGGCTATGGAAATGATAAGGAATGAGGAGCACTCATATACTCACAGCAGAGAGGTGGGCCAATAAGTAGCTATTATTTTTAGTTTTTAGAAATAACTGCTTAGAACAAGGATGTCATGACAACTTAACAGACTCCTTATCCAAAGCTTCCATCATCAACATATTTATATAAGGTAATGGGGGTGCATACATGACCCCATGACCCTTAACTAAATATAAATATAAATAATTTAAAAACTGATATTTTTTAAAGATTCAAGTATAGAAAACAGAAAATTAGGCAATAACCTCATGACAAGGGGTCAACTGAAAGCCTTGACTTGACAATTCTGTCTTCATATTATCAGATTGCTTTTGAACACTTTATCTAGCTTGCGTTGTAGTCCTGTGTACTGGGGTGGGGGCCGGGGGGTGGATAATCACTGATGGGAAAATGATAACATCCTCACATCGGGGAGATCTAATTTTCATTCAGACCATGTCTTGAGTTTCGTCATAGACTTAAAAGTACATAGCTACATGGCAAAACTTTTTCTTCTTTTCTTCCTACTAAAGTATGTTGAGTAAAATTTGACATTGCTAAATGTGGTGATCTGACATCATACAGAGAAAGTGTGGTGCTGGAACTTGTTGGCTCAGTTTTCCAACTGTGATTTATACTAACCATTAACACGTCTGCAGTTTACAAGTCTATGTCTGCCACCTTACACGGAGACCCACAGCCTGTAACGCGAAGCCACACACAAATGAACCGCGCTCTTAGCAGAAAGGTAGAGCTGAATAAAAGAGGCACGCGGCGCTTGTCCTGGAGCTTGCTAACCATTAACCAAAGGCACTCTTTTATCCCAAATTGTCTGAGGATTAAAAGGGGCTGTAGCTGGCCAACATAAACTAAACTCCAATCATAGAAGAAATGTCAGTAATTTTTCTTTACCTTTGCCACCTCTCAACCTGGTTTTAAAAAAATGTACTTTGATTATAGGATGGCCTATCAAAAGTGGTCTTCCAAAAACCTGTTTTTGAATGGATCATCAGGAAGATTGGGTTCACTTGAAAGGTTTCCCAGCCTCGTCTTATTATTTTTTAAAAGTTTATACTGTAGTTTCAAGATACCTCTGAAATATAAAAGTAGTATTACTAGGTCAGGAAAATAAGGACATATATTGCTTTAAATGTGTGACAAGACCAAAAGTTTCAAGAGGGTAAACATTTTCCTTTGGATTTTACCAAAATTCATTCAAAGCAATTTTTAGATGGTAGAATATTTAAGATGGCTTATTAAATTTTATATTGTGTACAAGTTCAATAGGAGAATTTTAGAAGAATTGAAAGACATGAAAAACAAGGGTAGTTTTCTGCCCCAGATTCTGATGAATTTTGATACATTTTTGACAAACATTATATTTCTTCTTTAATGGTCTTCCTCAAACAAGACAGCTAGCAAAATATTTGAATTGCCACATATAATGTCACATTTTAATGTAAACATCAAATAAGGTACCAAAATTTTTACTGGAGGGAAAAAAACCCAAACCTTAAAGCGGCACAATTCTTTATACCACTGGAGAAGAGGGAAGCCAGGTTACAAACATTTACACATGCATAGTGAGAAAAAAAGAATTGTACTAAATTCACGCATTTTTAAAATAGTTATCAAGTCTACTAAGCACCAACAATCCTAAAAATTTTTCAGCTTCTTGATTTGTTTAAAAAAAAAAAAAACACACTATCAAATTAACATTAAAAACAAGCTTGAAGTGTAGCTTGTCCAAAAAATAACTAAGTATGCCAACGTTTTTTTCACATTTCAAAAAACAGTGGCATACAAAATATGCCTGCAAAAAGAATGCCTTTAACTCTATCCTATGGTGGATGGAGATTACAACAACACATCATACATAGTCTAAAACTATAAAAGTTTTAGAACGCAGCATCGTGTCACAAAAAAAAAAAAAAAAAAAGGCTGATAAAGTACTTAGAAGATGCTGCCCCTTTATTTTAAAAAAAATTTAAATGAATTTAAGCAAAAATAACATACATTTGTACATCAACTGGCCATTTCTGGTACAGAAACCCAGCATATGGTAATATATTGAATAAATGTAAATGCTACTTACAATTTTTTTTTCTTTTTAAATACATTTTAGACAAACTTTTTTTTTTTTTTTTTTTTAATAGTTGCACAATTAACCTCTTGGCTGCTAGCTTGATGCAAACATGTAACAATACACAAATTTAAAAATTTGTTTTTATTCTACATAAAAGCTGTCAAAGTTTTGACACATCAAAAATGCAAAATAATGGAATATACTTTAAAAAAATTAGTTGCAAGTCTAGCAGCAAAGCAATTAAGTGAGAACATATTTAATATTAAAACAAAGGGAACTGTGCATCTATAGATGAAGTCCAACTACCTTAATTCTACTGATACAAACAGAAATTAAAACATTCTCCCTTGAGGGGAAAAAAAAGTGATTATTTAAAATATGAGTAAAAGCCATTGCTGCCAGATGAGCTTCCCAGGCTCAGTTCCTGGAAGAGAGACAGAGGGTCGCTACTCTTCTTGGCCTGCTCAGGAGGGGGCCTGGGCTTTGGAGGGGCCCGCAGAGCGCTGGCATAGGACATGGCAGGCTTGCCCCCTGCAGAGCTCTGGGGGCTACTGCTATTGGCTGACTCCGCGATCTGCTTGTTGGGCATAAGGGGTGGAAACTGGCCGAGATGCTGCAGCACACTGTAGTTGAAGGAACTGGACACCTCGAGGTTCTCCGACTTCAGTTGATCCTCAGGGGGTTTGACAGTCTTGGGTGGCGCTAAAAGCAGAGAACAGTGACACTGATTTAAGGATGAGCCCAGCAATGTTCATGTGCCTCATTCACTCAGTGTGTCAGAACTGGCTCTCATCTCCAGGAACACGGGGACAGTATAGCCACAAGGACAGACACCTTCTGCCACAGAATGCTGAAATCACAACACATCCAACCAAACGTCTCTATCTTATAGACACATAAAACAGCCATGAGAAGTGGAATAGCTAACATATAAAAACTAAAGTTCAAATCTGAAGGCTTGCTGAAAAATAAAGTAGTTTGTGTAACTGTACACTTTGATATTTATTCTAGTAACTGCTCATAGTTTGTAAACAGGCACATGCTCTCTCTTAAATAAAAAGGAGCTGCATACCCAGACTCCTGGTCAAAACAGCTTTTATTACTGAGCTAAGTAACAGTGCCATGGGATTCCATTTGTTTACAATGCTACCCTTCCTTGTATTATATACTGAGTAACATGGAATAAGGTGTGTGGGGGGGGACTGTAAATGACTTCACATTTCCTATAATCTGCCTGACTTTCAAGGTTCCTTAAAATTTGACTCCATCCTTCCTAACCAATTTTATTGCTCACTAAACCCATAGCTTGCTTTCAAATAAATGCTTTTCTCTTCAATCTTTTAAAACTTTATATAACATTTTACTGGATTATAAACAATACAAATTCACTGAGGACAATTTGAAAATTTCAGAAAAGTTCAAAGAAGAAAGTAAGTCATTCATACTTCTGAATACCGAGATAGGCCTTAAGTTGTTGTTTTATTTTTCCCTAAGTACTGGATTTACAGTATTTCATAACTTACTTAGGTAATGTCTCATTTTTAGAAATTTTCATTATCGCCAATTTTTCCCTTCTCTGGACTGTGATGTTCCAGGTAAATATTTCTAAATATTCATGGCTACTTCCTCAGGATAAATGCCTAGGTGTACAATGGGATGTACGAGCTATACGAATTCATGTATTTCACAGCTGTTTCCTAGGATAAATCCCTAGGTGTCCAAAGCTTCTAACAACTGTGGCCAAACTGCTCCGCAGGAAGATGCTGCCCATGTGTACTCAGCCAGTCATGCCTGTCCACTGCCATACCCCATCACAACACTGGCATTATGACTGTTTAAAACCTTAGCCTATTTTATTAAGCAAATAATTATCTTGTTGTGGTTACAGTTTGCATTTCCTTGATAGTTGGTGTGTAGGAACAGTTTTTCCCTGTTTATTACCTATTTGCAGACTATCTTTGTCCATTATTCTATTGGACATACTATTCTATTGTTTTTTCCTATTATTTTGTAGGCACTTTTTACATATGAAGAATACTATTCTTTCGTCACATGTTGCAAATATTTTTACCTGTTTCGTGATTTCCCTTTTAATGTTATTTATAATGCTTCCACTTTGTCAACAAAATGTTTTAGATTTTACTAAGCAAATCCATGAACTAGTGCAAAGTCAGGTAAATATTTACATCTTTTTGTGAATCTTTAAGGGTTTCCTGTTTCAAATTAAAATTTTATAATCTATCTGCAATTTATTTTGTTATGTGGCATTAGGTAAAGATATAACTGTTCATTTATTTTTCCCTTGAATAATTAATTAAATAATCATTTACTGAATAATCCATCCCTTCTATGCTGGTCATACTTCTATTATTACTAAATTCTTTTGTGCATTGAAATCTGTATCTGGGCTTTCTAGTCTTCATGTTCCACTGAACCGTGTTTCTATTCCTGTGTCAGTATTTTTTAAGTTTTTTGTGACCCTATAATAAATTACGTTCTCTGCTCTTTGAAGTCTTCCTTATTTTCCACCTCTACGTCTTTTCAAATAAATTCTGGATATTCTCACAGACCTTCCATTTAATTAAACAGTCAGGTGAGCCATGGTCAGTGTGCTTTTCCTGCTTTCTCACAGGTTGCTTCTCATATCTGGAATTTGCCCATTTACCCATCCAAAACCTTAAACTGCCATCTCAATCCAATAAATATTTATTGAGCACTTACTATGTATTCACTGCTGTGCTATACCCATAAAAGTATACAGTTGGTTAGAGCAGCCCTTCAAAAACTTATCATTTTATTGTGGAAATAAGATAGAAACCCATGGCAAGGCTAAATAACAATAGAAGTGGAACAATGAATGCTGATAGGTCCTAAGGGAGTTCTGGGAGAGCCAGGAGGGAATCTACACAGGGAAGATGAAACCGGGGATGAGTCCTGAAGGATTTAAACAGGTGGGGAAAGACTAGGAGGGCATAGGAGAGACTAGTAACAATCTCTTGGTTTCCGTGCTTTCCCTGCTTCCTTTTAGGTACAGAAACCCCACCCACTACACTAAGCTTAAATTGGACACGTGGTTGCTCATCTAGTGACTACATTTCCCAGCTTCTCTTGCAGCTGAGTATGGCCAAGTAACTAAATTTGGCTTAATTAGATATGAGCAAAAGTGTGCATGCAATTTCTGTGTCATCTCTAGCTTGAAGATAAGCCACTTGCCTTGAAACATTTTCATGGCAGAAACCTAGCTTTGACTACGCAAACAAAGACAAGCCTTTAGAGGACAGTGGGACACAGTAGAAGGATACTGGGCCCTTCAATGACTTTGTGAAGCAAAGCTACTCAGATAGTGTGAACCAGCCAATTAGGTGAAAGAAAAATAAGTTTCTATCTTATTTAAGGCACTGTACTTTGGGGTCTCTTTGGGACAACGACTTAGCCTTTACCCTAACTGATACAGGTAGGAAAGGACAAAAATGGGAAGCATTTCCTCATTAGTCTCCTCTGAACGTAGTAAAAGGTTAATATTAGACAACAGAGGGCGATAACAGAGAGGTTAGTTCCTCTTGTACAAAGTTTTCTCCCAACTACTCCACCATCTTTAAGGGTACAGTGTCTATACTGCACATTTAGCACTTAGTTTTATGCCATTTAATATTGATTGTTATTGCTTTATGTATGTTAATCTTATTTCCCAAACTAGATAGCTCCTTGAGGGAGAGGACCATGCCATCTTTTTCACTGAGCTCTGTGAGTATGGCACTCTGCTTCTTGATGGCCCTGTGGTTAGCGGGCCACAGAGACTGTCTCTTCCTTCCTTGTGTTCATGTCAGGAAGAAAGTGTCCCACTGGAACATACTTGATTCATATGGGGCTGGATTTCTTTTCCCAGAAATTTCAGTATGTGTATGTGAGGTGGGGGCGGGGGGGGGTGTGGGGGCGTGGGTGCAGACAGAGAGGTAAAGTGAGACCTTTAGCTAGATTACTTAAAACACACAGAAGAGTACAGTGATCAGAAGACCAATTCACAGAAAAGCAGGACAAAGGAACAGGTACACAGAGAAAGCCATAGGCCTGGAGGGAGATGCTGAGACCATCACATGGCGTGGCTATTTACCATGGGCCAGGCACTTTGTGCTATGCACCTTCCGTGGTTTAAACACAGTGGCCAGAAAATTATCCAGCTCCCCTCATCAACCCAGCTGGCCTCCCTGGACCTTATTTCCAGTAAAACTATTTTTACCTGAGCTACTTTGGGTTGGTTTCTGTTTCTTGCAATCAGATGTAGCTTAAGACAATCATCAAATAGAATGAACTCAGATATTTGATCTTCAAATATTTAGCGAGGTACCTCTATCCTTGAGTTCAAAATAAGTAAAAAACTGAAACCACAAGAAATCCCACTAATATTTCTTTTTAAAACTCAAACCACAATGGTTCATTTCCTCTAAAACACACTAGTGACACCTGATGGAAGCTACTTTACACTCAGTATGACAAAGTTTCAAAAGCATGTTAACATCAGCAATACAGCTGTCCAATATAACATAAAACTAGAATTCAGAGGTTAAGGTGAAAATATTTCACGTTTTAGCTTGAGTATTTTCTTTATTCAATATGTTAATTTTATAGTACTATTTTAAAATTTTAAAAATTCATAATATTGTTCAAAATGATTTTAAAGCATTTAACATCTTTCTAGTATATTTACCACTTTTCCCTCTAAATGTCACTGATTTTGTGAATTAAACAACTGCTTTCAAGAACAATTTAACAAATATTTCAATATAAAAATGTTCTTTGCTGTCTAAAATAATATATAAAATAAACATGGCTTTGGTTGTTCAAGAACTTACTATTTTTATTTACTTTATTAAGACTTATTTAACAATGTTCTCTGTTCCATAGCAATGTAATTAGTTTTAACTGTTTTTTTTTTGTTTGTTTGTTTTGTCTTTTTTGAGACGGAGTCTTGCTCTGTTGCCCAGGCTGGAGGGCAGTGGTGTGATCTCGGCTCACTGCAACCACCGCCTCCCGGGTTCAAGTGATTCTCCTGCCTCAGCCCCCAAGTAGCTGGGATTACAGGTACGCATCACCACAACTGGCTAATTTTTGTATTTTTAGCAGAGATGGAGTTTCACCATGTTGGCCAAGCTGGTCTTGAACTCCTGACCTCAGGTGTTCTACTTGCCTTGGCCTCCCAAAGTGCTGGGATTACAACTGTGAGCCACCATGTCCAGCCTAGTTTTAAATTTTTTCAATTAAATAAATACTTAGAAAATAATATTTTAGAAGCAGTTTAACTTAATGCCTACATCCTTGTCTAACCATGAATACAAGATCGCTACTAATTAATCATGTATATATTCCCAATAAGAGAAAACATTCTCTGAGACTATGAATTTCACTAGTCTTACAACGAATATTTTTCAAAATACACATCTCAGCTGGGCGCGGTGGCTCACGCCTGTAATCCCAGCACTTTGGGAGGCTGAGGCGGACAGATCACGAAGTCAGCAGTTCTAGACCAGCCTGGCCAACATGGCGAAATCCAGTCTCTACTAAAAATATAAAAATTAGGCAGGCGCCTGTAATCCCAGCTACTCAGGAGGCTGAGGCAGGAGAATTGCTTGAACCCAGGAGGCAGAGGCTGCAGTCAGCCGAGATGGTGCCATTGCACTCCAGCCTGGGTGTCAAGAGCAAGACTCCATCTCAAAAACAAAACAAAACAAAACAAAAAACACATCTCTACTCTAAAATTTTCATCCCATGCATTAAAAGAAAATGTCTGCTAAAGTATGTCTTGTCACCAGGTAAGTGAACAGAAACCAAACATACCTGTGTTGGAGGAGCGACTCCCCACTCTCTGCAATGCAACTGGGTCACCCCCTTAATTGCACAGAATCTAGTTTCATTATCTCCTTTCTTCACAAGCATTTACTAAGAGCCTAAAGTGCATTCAGTGTTAAAATGGGAAATTCAAAGTTTAAAAAGGCCAAAGATGGAGTTTCTATTTTAGGCTTACAGCTTAATTGTAAACTGATATCCATATCAAACACAATGATCTTTTAAAAATTTCAAACCAATATAATATAAATGGTTTTCTTCAAGCTCAAGAAATAAATTTCTAACTTCAGTAAGAAGTCTCTCTCATGTAATTATCTTATGTCTGATACCACTACTACAATTCTCTAAAAATAAAAAATTGATAAACAAGAAGTTGTGCTTCAGGACACTCATGATTTGAATTAATTTTTTAATGCCTAACTAAGTGATACTTTCAATTTAAAAATACCACAGTACGTCTCCAAGCAATGAAGAAAATAATGACTTCATATTTGCAGAAATGATACCATAAATGACATGAGCATTTGCTCAGGAACTTTCTACCTTATCAGCTTGGGTCAGCTTTTTATTAATTTTGGCCAAAAGCTATCCTAAACCTTAGGTTAAAAAAAAAACAGAAAGAAAAAGAAGAGAAATGATGTTATCTTTAAAAAAATTATAATAACCAAAAAAGTAACAAATTATCATCACTGATTTGTAATGTAGATGTTTGCCAGGAAATTCAAATATAACATGAGTGTATTTATACCAGTGTATTTATACTATTTATGCTTTGAAAGTGACAAAGCAGGCTCACACCTGTAATCCCAGATCTTCGGGAGGCCAAGGCAGGTGGATCACTTGAGGTCAGCCTGGCCAACATGGTGAAGTCCCGCCTCTACTAAAAATACAAAAATTAGCTGGGCATGGTGGTGCGTGCCTACAATCTCAGCTACTTGGGAGGCTGAGCCAGGAGAATCACTTGAGCCCGGATGGCGGAGGTTGCAGTGAGCTGAGAATGCGCCACTGCACTCCAGCCAGGGTGACAGAGTGAGACTCTGTCTCACAAACAAACAAAAAAGTGACAAAACAACCAGGCACAGTGGCTCATGCCTGTAATCCCAGCACTTTGGGAGGCCGAGGTGGGCAGATCGCTTGAGTTCAGGAGTTTGAGACCAGCCTGGGAAACACAGCGAAACCCCATTTCTACAAAAATAAACACAAAAATTAGCCAGGCATAGTGGCACATGCCTATAGTCTCAGCTACTTGGGAGGCTGAGGCAGGAGGATCGTTTGAGCCTGGGGTGTGGAGGTTGCAGTGAGCCGAGATTGCACTACTGCAATCCACCCTGGGCGACAGAGTGAGACCCTATCTCAAAAACAACAACAACAAAAGACAAAGCAACCCGAGTCAAAATACAGCAGTTTACTCCTAACAGGTACTAACAAATGTCTAAAGATTAAAATGGGCTGGGCGCGGTGGCTCAAGCCTGTAATCCCAGCACTTTGGGAGGCCGAGACGGGCGGATCACGAGGTCAGGAGATCAAGACCATCCTGGCTAACACGGTGAAACCCCGTCTCTACTAAAAAATACAAAAAAACTAGCTGGGCGAGGTGGCAGGCGCCTGTAGTCCCAGCTACTCGGGAGGCTGAGGCAGGAGAATGGTGTAAACTCGGGCGGCGGAGCTTGCAGTGAGCTGAGATCCGGCCACTGCACTCCAGCTTGGGCGACAGAGCGAGACTCCGTCTCAAAAAAAAAAAAAAAAAAAAAAAAGATTAAAATGGCAATGTCTTTTGCCAGGAAATAAAAGCAAAAGCTTTAAAAAAATTTTTTTTTCTCTACCACATCTATTGTTCTAAAAATATGCTTGCATGGCACATATTCAAAAATGAGCCAGTTATGGAAACAATAGATTCACATTCTAAAGATGAACAAAATTTGTTTCAAATAAAAAATTGATGCTACTGGGCAAAAATTCACCACACAAAGATCTCACACTTGTTCACAAAGATCAACGTCTACAGCATACAAAGAGAAGGAATTAGAGAATTCAAGCAATATAATTAGTTTCTTTATATTCAATATAAAAAAGAGAACAGAGGAAAGATCAAAGTGCATTCATCTTTAAGGCTAAAGAGGAAGACTCTAGATTTTCCATCAGACAGTACAAGTTTAGAGTGTCTTATCCATTCCAATCTCTTTCTATGCCTTTTTTGTTCTTTAGCCATGAAGTTCTACAGTTTATCAGAATAAAGGAATAAACACAGGATTCCTAAATCTCAAAATGTTAGACTTTACTGGTCTCTCTCGTGGCCAAACTCTATTATATAGCAAATTGTCAACACTTTACTGACAACAAATCCTTGAAAACATATTAATCTAACCAACTCCCACTTGCCCCCCTCAGCCCTGAAGGAAAAAAAAACAAAAATTCCACAGATATCCGGGAGCTGAGAAGTAGAGATTAGTTTTAGCCACCAACTCTGTCTTACCTATCAACTCTCTGGGCTGAGCTGTCCTGCTGGATCCATTGCACGGAATGTTCTGATAAGGAGTAGATGAGGTGGTGTTTACCCAGGACTCCGGGGATGAAAAGTTGAAAGAAGATTGATTACTGTGGTCCTGAAGCTCTTTACACTGAGCCAGACTGTCTTGAGGAGTGCTTACTTCTTCAGAACAAGGTTGAACTGAGCTAGATGAGATTCTTCTTTGGTACAAGGGCCGACCAGGTCCTCTGGGCTCATACTACACAAAGAAAAATAACATTTCATAAATCAGTGCACCTTGTGCCATAGTCCTCTCTCTCTTCGCTCCATAGCAATCTCACTATATAAAGTAAAAATTCTCAAGAATACTCTGTGACTGTGAAACCCTCCCTCCACCCTACTTCCACCAAAAAGAAAAAGGGTCGGGGAGGGGGCAGGCTAGGCTCTGGACATGGTGTCAGAAGACCTGGGCTCAAAACTCAGTTCTGTTCCTCACTGCATAGTCCTGACAATACATGTCTGATTTCTGATTCTGTTTTCTTATCTGTAGAATATGGGAACTGAAGTAGTTATTTTCAGTTCTAAAATTCTATTGACATTTTAAATAGTAGATTAAGAAAAAGCATGAAGGCGCAAATCCGATCAAAATTAAATGGGTAAAGTATAGTCGATTGAGTCATGGCCCTCTTGAGCAGAGTCATCTATTCTAGACTTATCTCTTGGGTCCTTCCTTTATAACATCACAATTTGTTTTTCTTTAGACCTGAGGGCAAGATGTGATTCCTCCTGTCCAACATAAGTACTCTTGACTAGACTCCACTGCATTTCTTTTAGTCAAACTTCAAAGGACACAGAATACTCATTCATTTATTCAAAAAAATATTTTATATGTTTGAAACCGAATTAACTTACTCAGTATATTTTCTCCTCCCTAAACGCCCTGTATTTGCACAAGCCAAATTCCTTTAACCCTTCCAACAAGATCTATGTGGCAGCCATGTCAAAAATTTTTTTATAGTTACCCAAGTGCTGTTCAATTTGTTCTTGCCAGATTCTTGTGATCAATATTCAGAGTCAATTCTAACGGCAAGGCAGTGTACAGCAGTGGTTAGGTACCCGTCTCCATCTAAAGCCAGACTGTCTGTGTTAGACTTCAGACTCCGACTTTTATTGGCAGTGTCACCTTGGGCAATTGATTTAACTTCTTTGTAACATGAATTACCCACAGTCCCCACATCTTGGGATTGTTGGGAGAATTAAATAAGGATGCATAGCATTTACAACAGTTCTTGGCACACAGGAAGGGTTCATTGCTATATAATTATTTTAAATATATAAAGATAAAATTCCATGTTCAGTCTCAAATGACAGAATGGGATTGGTGTTTTATTGCCCCTTTCTTTTTCCTCTTTTCTTTTTTGGATAGCAAATAATAAATTTGCTGTTCAGTCTGCAGTCAATTATGACTCTCAGAAACTGTACTTTCACCACTGTTGTTAGCAATAATTGAAAATCAGGAACTGGAGGTTGGATTAAAAAGAAGGCAGAGAGATGAACTGGCACAGCAATAACAGGATGGCTTCTGGAAATATAAAATAGCACAAGCAGACACTATCAAGCCAATTAAATGTGAAAATTGTGGGGGTAAGCACTGAGAGTATTAAGTCAAAGTAGATGGAACCACTAGGATACAAACTAGGGAAGAAAATGGGTCTGGACTGGCTGCCCTTGTGCAGAGAGGCAGGAAAGTGGGGAGGAGAACACTTCTCTCACTATTAAGTTTTGAGGGCCTCCATTTCCAAAGTCTTAGCTATTGAATGGAGGAAGGCAAGAGGTAGTGCTGCCATCTAATTAATTTCTTTTTTCATGAAATTTTATAGATCTGTTTCTAAGCATAGTATCTCAATTCATGTTTAATTTTACTCTGCTTTAAAGGCAATTGTTTTCAATGGTCAAATCATTATGAATTTGATTTTGTTTTCTAGAATATTAACCATCCAAATTAATTTAGTGTCGACTAGGAATGTAATCAGCACATTTGAAATTTCTTTGTCTAAGGCATTAAATTATGGTAGTGAGTGGAATAAGTAACCTTTCTAAACTGCACGGTGTGCTCTATGCCTGACAACCCTGGATCACAATGGCTGTGCAGTGCGTCTTTTTTTTTTTTTTTTTTTAATTGAGGTTTGTAATGAAGACAATTAGCTCTTAAAGTTGAAATGTAGTATTTCTTTTTATGACTATCCTCTGAGTGTTTAGTCACAATCTTCAGGGGATTACCTTCTAAAGTTTTCATATGTGAATACCAAAGTACAAAACTAACGTTGGGTATGGGCTCAGAAAGAGCAGGTTATGATAACCAAGTCTCCTGGTGACATAGAACACTCAATATACTCTCGTGAATTTCACGCGTTAACTTTATAAGCCCCTTTTCATTAAATAATGGACATACACAAACCAGCAGTATAAACAAAAACCTTTTTACAATGAATAGACATATGAACCAGAAAGCTTAAAGGAAGAAAACTAAAACTCAGAAAGAAATGGAAGGCTGATATAAGAGACAATACGCAATTAAACTTTATAGAAAATGTGTATCATTTGTATCTTCCAAACTGAAATCCAAAGTAATCACTCAGTTGACATGCACAGCAGGCTCCAGTGAAGTACTGTATAACTTATCTATAGCTATTGACAGAGATAAATGTGTAGATAAAATATGAAATTCAATTTCAAATTATGTTACGAATATGATCAATTTTTAATGTCAGAAAAGCAAAGCCGAAACTGGAAAATTTTTTAATGCTTTTCAAATTAGATATATTGGAGATTATATATATATATATATATGAGAGAGAGAGACAGATTGATTGATTTTTGTGTGTTGACCTTGTATCTTGTGACCTTGCTAAATTCACATTAGTTACAGGAATCTCCCAAGGAATTGGGAGATTCTTCGGGCTTTTTCTATACTGACAACCATGTCATCTGTGAATGGAGACAGCTTCATTTCTTCCTTCCCAATCCCTAATGCCATTTATTTTCTTGCCTTATTGCGGGGGCTAAGACTTTCAGCACAGTGTTGAAGAGGAATGTTGAGAGCAAATGTCTTGCTTTATTCCTAATCTTAGAAGCATTAAATCTCTCACTATTAAGTATGATGGTAGCTGCAGGATTGTTATAGATGCCCTTTAACAGGGTGAAGAAGTTCCTTTCCATTTCTAGTTCACCAAGAGTTTCATCATCAGTGGACAGTGCATTCTGTCAAATGCATGTGGTTTCTCTCCTATGTCTACTGATATGATTGTGTGATTTTTCTCTTTAGATTGTTAGTATGGTGTATTACATTAATTTATTTTCAAATACCACGCCAGACTTGCATTCTAGAAATAAGCCCCCCATGGTCATAGTACATTATTCTTTTCATATATTGCTAAATTCAAATGGCTAATGTCTTGCTGAGGATGCTTACATTGATATTCATGGAAGTGGATCTGTGGTTTTCTCTTTTTGTACTGCCTTTATCTAGTTTTGGTATCAGAGTAATGCTGGCCATACACAATAAATCGAGAAGTGTTCTATTCTCTGGAAAAGATTGTGTAAGTTGGTGGTTTTCTTCTTCATATTTTTGGAGGAATTCCATGCTAAAACCATTTGGGCCTAGAGATGTCTTTTTTGGAAGGTTTTAATTACAAATTCAATTTCTTTAACAGTTACAAGACTATCCATATGCCATCCATTTCATCTTCGGGGAGGTTTTAAGGAAGTGGTTCATTTTATATACGTTGCTGAATGTATGTGCACAGAGTTGTTTGTAGTGCTCCCTTATTACCATCCTTTCAATGTCTACTGGGTCTGTAGTGACCCAGTCTCCTTCCTAATATAGGTAGTTTGCATCCTCTTTTTGTCTTCGTCAATCTTGCTAAAGGTTTATCAATTTTACTAATCTTTCTGAAAAACTAACTAGGTTTTACCGATTTTCCTTTATTGCTTTTCTGTTTTGAATTGTATTAAATTCTGTTCTCATCTTTGAAATTCCCTTCCCTCTTCTTGATTTGAATGTATTTTGCTCTTCTTTTTCTAATTTCTTGGGGTAAAAGTTTTGATTACTGATCTGAGATCTTACTTCTTTTCTAATATAAGCTTTTATTAAATTCTAATATAAGCTACAAATTTAAATTCTAATATAAGCTATAAATTTCCCTCTGACACAGCTTGAGCTGCATCACACAAATTAGGACAGGCTGTATTTCCATTTTCACTCAATGTAAAACATTTCTAATATTTCTAATAAAGAAGCTTCCTTTGGTCAAAGATAGGGGACAAGGTGTCAAAATGTATGACTACAATAAAGTAAAAACTCAAATACATAATGATATCAAATAATAATATTCAAAGTGCAAAAAGAAGGGGAAAAAAAAGCCTCAATGATCATCCTGAGGCCTAAGGCCTCAATTCATTACTCTGAAAATTGACTAATAAAGGGCAAGGATTAAACATTTATCCTGCCCTTTCTATATAGACTATATTTTAGGTAGTAATTAAATATTCAATGAGGAAAAGTTCTCCTTTATAAAGGAAAATAAATAAAAAATTCAAGGAAGTTTTAAATAATCATTTTGCCATATCTAATGAAGCAACAGATCTAAGCAACTACCATCAACAGCTGCTAAAATCTGAAAGGTTGCTGGGAAATTTAAAAATCAATAGATCAGAATGACATCATCTGATCACTGAAACACAGTGATCAACTTAACATAGCTAAAGTGGGAAAACTGGATATTAGCTACATCTTTAAACATATAATTTAAAATGAGACATTACATAATGCCTGGTAATTTTTCATTGAAATATCATTGATATCTTTCCATGTCATTAACACTCTTATGAGATTTAATAAGCTGCATTTTTTTCTTCATTTACTTAAAACTAATCTATTTAATTTCCCCAAGATTTGAGGAAGAAATCCTTGATTATAGAACACTTAGGGTCTACTAACTTATTTCAATTTAGCTCCCCCTCAAATTATCTTCTGCTTAAAGCAATATGCTACAGTTTGCTAGATACGTACAGTTCCCTAGAGAGAAAAAACTAGGATGGTGCAAGGAGAGGACTATCACTATAAGATTAAAAATAATCCATTTATTAACAAGCCAGATAACGTGTGATGAATAAACTATAGTTTACAACAGTAATGTCTGTGGGTTCATATCTATGGGTTCATGTGATGTAATCTATTGAAAAGCACTTGATAAACTA